ACGTTCATTCCTGTTCTCAGCCAGCCGCCGTTTCCCAAGTTGGGAACCTTGGAGTCGCCCATGACTTCCTTTCTGTCAGTCTCTCTGTTGTCTCTTTGCCTTCCTGGTGGCTCAGACTGCTTTAGCTCAGTTACCTCCTCCACCCTTGAGCAGTGTAGAAGTCACCTAAAGGATCTTTCTGTTTCTAGACTGTTCTCTTGTCAACATTGTCTGTCGTTCCCTCTAGGGGTGGAGAAAACTTTCTAAAACAAGTACACAGTTATGCACTTGTGCTGCCTCACTGCTCGGGCTCTAGTTTTTGCACTTGGCTTCCTGGAGCCTGGGGGTTCTGTGGCAGGGACCGCATGGCCACCATGGGATGAGAGCCCACTGAGGACAGATGGAGGATGTAGGCGAACGAGGAGTGACCACTTCCTGCCCATCTGTTGCCCCGTACCCCCCACCTGAGCACCAGACAACAGCTTCGCCTTGGTCTCTCCTGATGTGGCCTTGCTGCCATAAAACTCCCCTGGCTCTCGGGACGAAGCCCAAGGTCTAAATGCGACACGAGAGGCACCTCATAAATTATCCCCGCTAGCAGTCCAAGCTTAACCCCGTGCTCTGCCACGTATGTAACCCTCGGTGAGCGTGCGTGCCCTCCCACTGCCTGCACTCAGATGTCTGCTCTCCCTCGTGCTCTTTTCTGTGTCCACATGGCCTTTACCTTTGCCCCCATTTGCTCGGCTGACCCCTCAGTGCTCCTTCAGCTTCTCCTCAGGCATCACCCCCCGCGCTGACCGCCTGTTCCTGCCGCCGGGCAGCCTCGTCTGTGTCCCCATAGCTCCCCGCGCCCATCTCCATCGCTGCACTGACAGTAGAACCTTCTGTGTAGGTTTATCCCCAACGCAGCCACCCCCTCCAGGAGGGCAGGGCAGAGACCATGTTGCTTTTGCCTGTCACTACATCCCAAGCAACGTGCACGTTGCCCGACACATAGAAGGTTCTTGGTAAATATTTGACTTCCTGCCTGCCTCAGTGACTTGACTGAGATGAACTGCAAGCCCCATAGCATGTTTTCTTTAATAGCCCAGGCCTTTCTTGCTGAACTTCCACTCTTACTACCACTCGCCCCATGGACTTGCATTGTTCTGGCCTTGGTACTTCCTTCAAGTCTCACTGTGCCTCTCTGTGCACTGTTTTCCCTTCTGAGTTCCTCTCCCCCCGCCCCCAGTACGTCTCCCAGCTAGCAACCCCTAAACTTCAAGGCCACAGAAAGTAGATTTCCTCTGAGATGTTCCCAGCCTTTTACTGCGATCCCACAGCCTACTCTTAAGACCCATGATGTTCTCCAATTTCCAAACTGCAGGCTTTTAAAAAAATTTTTTTTTCTTATCATCTTAGATTTGAGCTCCTTGGGAGCAAGGAACAGGTCCCTTTCATCATTTGGAAGACAGTTGTTGCATTAGCTTCTTCTCTGCATAGAATCAATTCCAGGACTTTTGATCCTTTACAGCCTGTCTCAGACGTCTCATTGTGGTGTCATCTCCTGCCACTGACTGTACCCTGTACTGCAGCCTTTTCAGCAGCTGGTGGTTTTCTAAGGATATTCCATGTTGGACTCACTGTACATATTTTGTCCACATGCTACTTCTCTGCTCAAATACTTTTTGGCTATCGGGGAGCCTGGAGGCTCAGTCAGTGACATGTCTGACTTTGGCTCAGGTCATGATCTCGTGATACAAGAGTTTGAGCCCTGGGCTGGGCTCTGCACTGGCAATGCAGAGCCTGCTTGGGATTCTCTCTCCCTGTCTCTTTCTGACCCTCCCCCATTTGTGCTCTCTCTCTCTCAAAATAAAAAATAAACTAAAAAAAAAAATGTTGACTGTTGGCAGGGACTCTCTTTTCTTCAGGGTAGTGTATTCATTTTTTTCTAACTTTCAAAAATGTATATAATATTTCTAGCATACATCAAAGAGATAGAGTAATAAAGCAATCCCTTATGTATGTATCCAGCATAATAAAAACATTTTTACATATATATATGGAGAGAGAGAGAAAGCAAGAGAGAGAAAGATTCAGAGAGAGCTAAATCCCTTATTTTTTCCCTCTCTGATTCATTTCCTTCCCTTCTTTCTCATGGAATAATGGCTATCTTAAATGTAGTATTTATCATTTCCATATGTTTTATTATTTTAGATGTTTTATCCATAGAAGATAGGCAATATCATTTTTGCATTTTTAATACACACTATATAAATAATATTACTTGGGTCACATTCTTCTACAAGAGTGCAGCAAACAACATTGTTTTTGAGATATATCCATATTATTGTGTGTATCTTTAGAAAACTTTAATCAGCACATAGTTTTTCATTATATGACTATCTCAGCTCATTTACCCATTCTGTTCTTCATCAGTCTTCTGGTTGTTTACGGTTTTTCAGTGTTGAACCAGTTTGTAGTGAACATTCTTGTATAAAAAGAAAAATCTAACCTTTTAAAAACAAGGACTATGGCAGCTATATCCTGAGTGAATAGTACACTTGAAAGCCAGTAACTATCCCTCTTCATGCAAACATCCGATGTCTTTACCACATACTCTGAACAGCATTAAGCCAGGGCTAGTATGTTGGTTGCAAAGCTTTCAGCAGACATTACTTTTCTCAGCAATCTGCAAGCCACGTCTCATACGAATTTAGGTCATTTTGCCTTAAAAATGTTAAAATGCCAGCCAGAAATAGAATGTTTAAAAAAACAAAAAAGAAGTTGAAAGCTCTGTGGTTGTAGGACCTGAGGGAAAGCCTGTTACATTGTAGAATAACAACTTGAAGTAAGTGTGACTCCGTGGTTTCTCATTCATGATAGAAAGCTGGAGGTGGCCTCAACTCCTCTGTTCTCAAAGCAGCTTTCTAAAGAAGAGCCGGGAGCTGAGGCCACAGCTCCATGAGGTGGACCGATTGCAGCATTTTCTGCCCTTAATACTCAGATTTCCCATCATGCCCAGCTGGAAGAGCTTATGTTTGCATTGAAGCTCACTTCCTTGTTTTGTCTTCTTCTAACAAGGAGAGCAGGCCGCTAGTATTCTCTTTTCAAATAAACAGACTAGCCTTTCTTCTCCAAAGGAAATAATTTAAAATACTTTTTGCTTTGATTCCTATGACTCGTTTAATGATTGTCTTCAGTTTTGATGGCAGTTACCCTAGATTACCTCTGTTGTCCTCGGAAGGTGCACTTGGCACAGACAGAACCCCCATTTGGTTGAACCCATAAAGCAACTCCCGAGTTCTGGTGTTTTGTGAACTCAGTAGAGTGTGCTGTCTTCTTCAGTCCCCACCTCCACACCCCCTTCTCACACACAGGAAGGTCACTTCTTCCAGGCGTATTTATTGCTTTCCCTTCTTGTGCGGGCATTGAGTTCAGGCCTCCGAGTCTTGCCATTCCCGCTGCTAGGACTGACCATCCAAGTTCTTTCCATCTCAGAAAACTCCTGAAATTCCATTTACCCCTGAAATGTACTGCAAACAATCTTACCATTACTTATTCTTTTCTTAAAAGAATCTTACCAACTGTTCTCTTTATGCTTTACTGTGGGAATACACTTATACACTATCCCAACATATTTTTGCCTTCTTTTTCCATCATTTACAAAGTAATTTGTATATTTGAAAAATATATACTGCTAATGCAGTTCACAGTTCTATTCTGTTATCCTTTTCTCAGTAGTTTTACTTCAAGATAGTCTCACCTCAGTTTGCTAAAAATTATATGGAAGGATATTCATCGCAGTGCTGTTTATTAAAAAAAAATAAAACTGGAGACATGGCAATGATTAATAATAGTCTATTTAAATTATGATATATCCAGATGCCTAGATATCAAGTTACGGCACTCCATGTTTATTGAATGGGTCAAGGAATGAATATCAAGAAATGAAAAAAAGTATGAGGTACAAATATACAAATGAGTACAAAAACTGTACACATTTGGTGGCGGAATAAAAAAGATGAATGCTCTGTGTGTACAGCATTCATTTATATACATGCCTGGTTGCGTATAACATTTCTGGAATCTCAGACAATAAACTGCTGGTACATACTAGCTACTAGTACATCATGGCAAATGGATGTAAGCAGAAAGCGCGGGGTTTACTTTTAACCTTTGAAGGAGAAACAGAGCGAAAGTAAACCTCCAATGGAGAAGACCCTGCCCTCTTGCATTTCTCTCCAGGCTAATAATCTGCCTGCAAATTCCACCTGCCTCGCAGCCCCCAGTCCTTACCTCTGCATTTCCAATGCAATGCAGTGCTGCTACATACGGCCAGCGGCCAGCTTTCTGCACAGCAGTCTGGAAGGCTTCTCCAGGCACAGACCTTCTTCTTGTAGGGACCGCAGTCCTGCACTGCACACGTTTTTTACATCTGAAAGGTGTTGTCTCATGTACTTTGTCCAGTTTTTCAGGTGTTAATAGCAGGAAGGCTACTCAGTACCAGTTAACCCATCGTGGCCAGAAGTGGAAATCTTTTCATAAATGTATTTAAAGTCCTTGTTTTTGAGAAGTAAGAATATAAAGCTGTGATAAAAAGTAATGAACTATATTATACTAGAGAAACAATCTAATCCAACAGACTTATTTGAAAGATGAGAACATTGAGATACAAGTTCAAGGGACTAGTAATAGATTACATTCCGAGTTACTCATAAAGTCCGTTCGTATCCCAGGCTGTCCGAATCTGTCCACTATTCTTTCCACAGTAGTGGAAAAGTATCATATGTTTGAAATGCAATCTTAAGCTGTCAAACTTTTTTTATTCTTTAGAATCCTTATAATTTAAACATTCTCCTCACTTCATTTTTTGTTATATCGATAGTATTACTAATCCTGCTATTAACACAAGCATGAAAAGAGTCATTACATGTATGTTTTAGAATAAATGACATCTTAGGGAACTCTGTAATTCTATATAAAACCTAGAAGAGGAAACACTTAGTTCTTTTTTTTTTTTTGTCTTTTTTTTTTTTCAGTTTGTTTTCCTTGCTGTCTAAAAAACACAACAAAGTTCTGGAACAAGCCACACAGTCCTTGAGAGGGTCACTGAGTTCCAATGATGTTCCTCTACCAGATTACGTAAGTAATTACTTTACTTTGTCGGTAAGAAGTTTTCCTTTCATGGTTAGAGTTGTAAGAAACAAAGTACTCCTCTCTTCTCAGGGTCTGACTATGACCATGATGCCTCTACTGTGCAGAGAAAGGAGGGATGTTGCAAATCAAGGAAGAACTTTAAATGATTATTAACAAGTGGTTAAAGGAAGTCAACCCTACACCAGTGATTGTTAATAATTGGGACTCTTGTGGGGCACCTGGGTGGCTCAGTTGGTTAAGCATCTGACTCTTTATCTCAGCGTCGTGAGTTCAAGACTCATGTGCTCCACACCAGGCGTGAAGCCTACTAAAAAAAAAAAAAAAAAGAACTCTTGTTACCTTAGGCCAGAAACCCACTCAAACTAATGACACAAAAGCAAAAGGAGCAGTTTTATAGAAAATATGCAAAGGCTTCTCACTGAACTCAAGGGGCAGAGGGACACCTGGATATCACAGAGAACCAGAACCTGACATTGAAAAGCCTTTGGATTCAAGAATATGTTGTCTTTCTGAGGCTGTTTTGTTTCTAGGCTCTGCTTCCTTTTGCTTCCGTATTATTCTTATGCTTCTCTCTGTCGGCCAGATTTCCCTGTTTGTTGACTGGGACCTAAAACAGCCACTCCAGCCTCCTTCCTCCCAAGCTGTAAGGTGTCCTGGGAGGGTCATTTCTTTAGCCACCTGACTGGATTCATGAAGTCCTCATTCTCCCTTCCTGGGAGAGAGAATGCAGTTGGCTCTGCTCAGATGAGGATGCTACTCTGGTCCTGTCCTGCGTGGTCAGTGGACAACAGCACTAATGCGTTCCCTCGATTTCATCCACTTTAAAGATAAAGAGCTTATTACCACCTAAACTCAGAGGATAACGACAGAATAGAATGGGAGCAGCTCAGGGATGAACTTTATAACAGGAGGGAGAGCACATTTGGAATTCCTCTAGGGCAGTGCCACTGACTGGGACATTTCTTACATTTTGGAACACGGCTTAGATGAAGATGCTAAAAACTATCGTGTCATAAACCTCAGAAGTAGTCCGTTGAGTTCTACTGAGGACCTCCCCACATCCCCCCATGACAACTCAGTGCGTTGATGTTCAGAAACTTCATGAGAGAATTTTTAAGTTCTGGGTCTGAAGCGATGATGCGTGCCAGACAGCCAGAGTTGTTTTGTTTCCTGTGGTTTGTTTCATTTCTAAATGGCTGTGCTGATAGGCGACTGTGGGAACGGCACCCGCTCCGGGTGGCAGTCGCTGACAAACAAGAGATAGCCGTGAGCGCTCACAGCCCAGCCCGAGCTGTTTGTCTTGTCTTGCATTTATTGTGTGCGCATGCGTGATGCTATGATCTGTCACTTGCATTAAGGTATTAGGTTTGTAATTCCAAAGTATTTCTCTTTTACCAAAAAAAAAAAAAAAGTATCTTTATGATTTTCCTAATTGAATATTCTCAACTTAAAAAAATTAGCATAATAGCTCACTTATATCCGAGCCATGGCTTATTATGAGAAAACTATTTTTTCCTAATCACTCCTTGGAAACCTCATTTGGGGCCTCAGAGTGGCTGTGGAGATTGTGTTTATTGAGAACTTGAGGTCAGTTGGTCTGTGAATGTTTTGTGATTTTCATACAGCTGTCATTTGCTTATGGAGTCCTCCTGTGTCGTTTCTGCCACAAAAATGTGTCGAATGAATTCAGTCTTGAGGTGGTACTAGCAGCATTCTCCTGCAATCAGAGATCAGAAAATTACATTTTCTTTGAGAAAATGGGTCACATTTGATGGTACTCACCAGTCATGAAGGTGACTATGCAGTGAACCGACAGGTTGAACTCCTCACGGACATATGACTTCTACTGTTAAACTTGACATTGTTTAGAGTTGCTGACTTCTTGCATGAGATTTTCAGGAAGTAAAAATGAATTTCCTAAAGTATCTTCTCCATTAGAAATACTGGGAAAATTCCATTTGGATTCTGTCATTGACAGTCCTCATTTTAACATCCATACCATAACATACTCCAAATGGGTTTATGAACTTGAATTTTGCTGCCTTTCCTCAGAGTTCATTCAAGAGGGTGGATAGCCCTGATTCAGTAGTAGTGATGGAAACACTGTGACTCATCTACAAGGTGGTTAAGTAACACCATAGCAGTCCTAAAAGTGACACATGTTCTTCTTTCGAGGTGACCGGTGTTTTCACTCGTCATTCCCATTGTTCCAAACACTATGAGTGATGTGTGTGTTTGAAACCATGTCTTCATTGTCACTCTCTTTTAAACTGGTCATTAATTAACTGGGAAAATAAAATGCTTCTCCTTTTTCCCTCCCTAGAAATTTTAATTAAATGTCTCTGACAGCAGCCACATAAAACTGTGACCTAGACTAATGCTTTAGACCACGTGTTTGTAAAAGATCGAAAAGGAAAAGGAAAGGGTCTGCATGCAGTACGGGGTCCCTGATGGATGCCATTCACACCAGGACTGAATAAATTTGAATAAGTGCTTAAAATCAGGAAGGCGTTTTTCTTCTCGCTGTAGTACCTAGAGTACTTAGAATCCACCTAGAGGTTTCTGAGTTTATTAAGAAAATGTTTATTCTCATTATACTGTATAATTCACAAGTCAGTTGAGTAACACCATAGAAAACAAATAGCAAGTTACAAAAACATTACTATTAATTCTTTAGTACAACTTTGTTTGTCAGAACATCTCAAGGGAAACCTGAAGCCTTCAACCAAGTTCCAGATAATGAGGCTACCGCCCTGGCTGCTTTAGGGGAAATAAAACAAAAATGCACTCAAGTCCTCTTTGGGAAAAGAGAATGAGCCGCATGGAGAGTGACGGCTGGCTCCGCAGTCTCTGTGCAGGGACGATGGAGATGTTTAGCAAAGCACATGAAATTCACTTGACGACATGGCTGCGCTTGGTATCTTTATAGCAGAGTTTCCTAAAAATTAATTCAGTGACTAAAGGGACAGGAGAGAATTGTTAGAAGAGAATCTTCCAAGACTTTTTAAAATTAAGAATAAGGCTCAGGACGCCTGGGTGGCTTACGGGGTTAAGTGTTCGACTCTTGATTTCGGCTCAGGTCATGATGTCACGGTTCACAGGATTGAGTCCGCGCCTGCACTGTCAGCACAGAGCCTGCTTGGGATTCTCTCCCCACCCCCCTCTGCCCCTCCTCTGCTTGCATATGTGTGTGTTCTCTCTGTCTCTGTCTCTCTCTGTCCCTTTCTCTTATAAAGAAACATTTTAAAACATAAGTAAATAAAATAATAAGTGGCTAAAACAACTTTGGCCATATACAACAAACCTGAATCTAGAAAGTGAAACAAAGCTAACAAACGAGTTTAGTTGCTTTGTAAACTATACCTGTGGTTTTTAAATTATGAATATTATTAGTGTCATGTAAGCTTTATTTCCCTAATTTCTAGGGAACTTCATCTTAGCAACCATTTGAGATGAGAAGTCTCTGACTTTATTCCAGGAGGGACCATAAGGAACCAAATTATATTGTCCTTTGATCGACAACAAACTTGGGAACTTTCTGTAGGACTGACTCTACCATCTAATTAAAAAAGTTTGTTTGATGTTTATTTAATTTGAGAGACAGAAGCAGAATGCAAGCAGGGGAGCAGCCAAGAGAGACGGAGACACAGAATCCAAAGCAGCCTCAAGGCTCTGCGCTGTCAGCCTAGAGCCTGATGCGGGGCTTGAACTCACGAGCTGTGAGATCATGACCTGAGGTGAACTTGGACCTCAACTGACTGAGCCACCCAGGTGCCCCTCTACCATCTAATTTTAAATAGTGAATTCAAGGATACAAGCCAAAAAGACCCAGCCAAAAGGGTTAAGGAGATAGAATCAGAAAAATCAGCTGAGGTACAAATCGCAGCTAAGAGTTTATCATTGAATGCTAAGCAAGTATAATGCTGCTAACTTACATCTACGGGCCTGTGTGTACATGTACATACACAGACATTCCAGGGGTTTACAAAGCCTCATTTTTATTCTCCTTCTCCTCTGACTGTAGGTAGTTTTCCAGAAGCTACGTGGTGAATGATCATTTCATTGCTCTGACAGCTCACAGAATGTTGTGTTCTTGTGTTTTAAATTGTTCTTAGCTTTAATTTGTATTATAGTAAATACCAATACATATAATCCACAAAAAACAGTTTTTTAGGAGCATCAGAGATTCCTAAGAACACAAAAGGGTCTTGAGATCGGAGAACCAGTGGTGTACATGATCTGTTACACACACACGGAGAAGGAACAACTAAATATACGCTCTTGGATATCCTGTAATTGTTTCATTTATGACCGTCTTCTCTCCTGGAAGGGCTGAGTGCACTTTGAAGGGAGGAGTCTCTTGTGTCTCAGGCTGAAAAGAGTAGGCTAAATATTAGCTAATTAACTGATGGGGATGGAGCCCCATTTCTGTACGCCTGCACCCTCTTGCAGGTGTCCAGAACTGGAAAGGAGTCTCAGATCTGAATGATATCTGGATGACATTTAATTTGAGTGGTTTGGGTGCTCGCTTCGGCAGCACATATACTAAAAAAAAAAAAAATTTGAGTGGTTTGGTCATTTTCTTAGTCAAAATAGATTAGTTTGCAACATGTCGTGGATATGTGTACTTTTTTAAGCTAAATTGTATATTTTCTCATTAATTTGTACATGATCTTTATATCACAGTTGCTTCTTCCCTGGGGTACATGGCTGGCTTCGTCAGTGGAGTATGTGACTCTTGATCTCAGGGTCATGAGTTCAAGCCCCATATTGAGTACAGAGATTATTTAAAAAAATAATATCTTAAAAAAAAAGTACTGTCTCTTTCCTATTCAAAGGGTAGCTGTAGAATTTTTTTCTTTTAGTGCAGTGCACGTAACACAGGTTGTTCAGTATCCACTCAGTCTAATAATTTGGTATCTTAAATTATAACTTCCTAAAGAGCAAAAGCCATGTATTTGAAATTTGTTTTGATCAAGTCTTGA